TGTGACGCCCAACCTCACGCCCGGCGCGACTTCCTGTTTCGGAGTGTTAGTGGGCCTGGAAGTGCGAAAAGGGGTGTGCCAAGGATTTTGGAAAGTGGGGGTGGAGTTCCAGGTCGGAACTGGAATCTCCTGTGTCAAGTTTCAGGGGTAGAAGTGCAAGTGGTTCCTCTAGCTTAGAGTTGGGGTGGGCGCCGTTCCTGCGGCCGGGGCCAGGAAAGAGTCGGGTGCACGAACGGGGTGTTGCGGGCGTCGCTGTGGGAATGCTTGTACCTTCGTCGTCCGACGCAGAACTCAGAGTCAGAGTCTGATGAGGAGGACGAGCTGGGTTCTCGTCGTTCTCTCCGGGGAGGAGTCTGACGCGTGGCCTCCGTCTGTTCGTGCTCGTTGGGCTGCTGGCACTCTGGGCACGGAGGCCGGGGCCAGAATCGGGATATGGAGTCCCAGGGGGTAACTAGCAATCGATGATACGGGAGGACGATGTAATGGGGAGGGAAATTAGTCGTGATAGCGACGAAGCCTAGGGTGATAAAGTATTGCTGGTGCCTACTGTCGGGATACTCAGGAATTCGGGAGTCCCGGTTGATTGCCAACTGGAAATCGCCCCTACACAGTCACTCGTGTTCAGTTCGGCAGGGGTAATCAAGGTTCCGCAAGTTTTGTTGCAGTCTGATCCATTGCTGTCGGACTTGTTGTCGTCGGACCTGTTCCCTTTCCCAATATGTCCTGTACTCGGGATTTCTCAGGCTTTCGCGGTTGGTAATCCAAAAGGGAGTTTCGATCGCCATATCCGGATCAACGGGACTCACTCACACACATCATTCCTACGTGGCGGGATCGTAACTAGCCCTTACATGCGTGCGTGTAGATCGCTAATCCGTTGACGGATTGCTGTCTTCCGCGCGCGTACGCACTGGCCAACTAGTTAATTCCTAAGTTGCGCGTCCCAATGGCGGAGCAGTCTATTGGCACACCGGTCCGATTATGCATCCAACCCCGTTCCCAGAACAGCCCCTCCCTGATTATACTTTTATGCCTCAGAGGAAAGGGCCCTCGAACATTCGAAGAGCAGACATACATTCCCAGTAATTCCCGTAATCTTGTACACAGGTCGAATGCAAGTGACTAGGCCAATCCTGCGCAGTGAGCGCACCGACCAGATCTGAGAGAACTCAGACTCGTAGATCGATACATGCACTGCGATGCCGAACGCCGAAGAAGCGACGAAGTTGAAACCACGCTAATCTACTGAACAAAACAAAATGGAAAAGCAAAGACAATTTGCGAGAAAGAATGCGAGATCGTTCGTCAC